TCACATCTACACGGCTTTTAAATCCCTCCAGGGATGGGGACTCCACCCCTGCCCTGGGCAGCTGTGCCAGGGCTGGACAAACCTTTCATGGAGAAATTTTCCCAGTGTCCAACCTAAAGCTCCCCTGGCACAGCTTGAGGCCATTCCCTCTTGTCCTGTCCCTTGTTCCCTGGGAGCAGACTCTGACCCCTACCTGGATCCACCCTCCTGTCAGGGAGTTGTAGAAGGTGACAAGGTTCCCCCTGAGCCTCCTTGAGCATCAGCACCTCATGTCCCCAGGCCAGGGATGTGCTCAGTGGATCCTGGCTGGGCTGGAGGCTCCTGGGACAGGGGAAATGGGAGCCTGGGGGTCCTGAGTCCAAGCCTTGTGCTTGGGGCACTAAAAGGGCACATGCAGAGTCCTCTTAAGTGAATAAATATAGTCATTTAAATTTTTGAGTGAAATATTGTTCCTTATAAGTTAAGATCTCATCTGTCCAAGCTCAGGTATTCAGAAGCTTGTCTGGTTTGTGCTCAGATTCAAACATTGCAATGAATTCACTGAGCACCAAATCCCATTGCCTGGGGCAGATGGAGCACAAGGTCCAGAACCAAACCGTGAAGATTTGGTATATTTGTCTAGAAAATAAGAAAATTGCACCAGTAGGAATAATTAATTGCTGGAAAAAAACTTACCGAGAGTTGTTGTGCATTCTCCATAACTCACCTTTTTTACATCAATATTAAACGTTGTGTCCATATCCAAAGAGGACTTGGTGAAGCCCTCAGCCTGTTTTATTCCAGGGATGGGGTCTGGTGGGCTCAGTGTTTGACAGAGGCTCAGTGAAGGAAATCACAACTCCCAGGATTTAAGCATTAAAAGGAAGTGTGCTGTTATGTGTAACAAGTGATTATATGGCACTTAAACAGGAAATCAGATGCTTCTTCTACTGCTGCATGTTAGGAAAAGAAACACGGTAATGGGTGAGGTGAGAGGTGGTTAATGCCATAATGTTTCCCTGAACGCTACTGGTGGAACCATTCTGGAATATTGCATACAATTCCTAGCATATACATACATGAAAATGTCTCTGAAATATATAATGCTTGTGGAAATGTTGCATGAGGGAGTAAAAGATCACTGTCTGCTCCTGTCTGAGAGATGATAAATACCCAGTGAGGAGGCAGCTTTTTGCAGATGATCAAACTTGACATAATTGTGAGGAGCAGGATCAGCCTGAGATTCCAGGCTGTTACAGTTGCTGCAGCTGCTGCAGCCATGGGATTCCAAGAGCCTCTCAGCTTCCAGGGGAAACGAATACATAATTATTGACCTTCCTGAATATTTAGATTAGTTTGGAAATATCAACTTTAAAGGGGAGATCACAGAGTCACAGGTTCACTGAGATTGGAAAAGCCCTCCCAGCCCATGGAGTCCACCCTGTGCCCAATCCCACCTTGTCACCCAGCCCAGGGCACTGAAGGCCATGTCCAGTCCTTCCTTGGACACCTCCAGGGATGGAGACTCTGCCACCTCCTTAGGCTGCCCCTTCCAATGCCTGAACACCCTTTCCAGGAAGAAATTCCTCCTGATGTCCAACCTGAACCATCTCTGGCACAGCTTGAGGCCATTTCCTCTCATCCTGTCCCTTGTTCCCTGGGAGCAGAGCCCGATCCCCAGCTGGCTCCCCCCTCCTGTCAGGGAGTTGCAGAGAATGGACAAGGTCCTTCCTGAGCCTCCTTTTTTCCAGGGTGCCACAGGATGGATAAAGAACAAATTGCAAGTAATGTTTTTTGTCCCTTTTAGTATCTGATCTCGTCAAAGAAAGTTTTAAGATGCTGAAAAACCCCAAATAACTTCAGGGATATTACACTGGGAGCATGTCTTGGAAAGCCATCAAAATCCCATTGCCTGGATCACCTGAACCTGGGATAGACCAAGCCCTTATGGGGCAGCCTGGCACTGGCAAAGCTCTCAAAGTGATATAATCAGGGGGTTTTTTTCTCCCCCCTGTTTCTTTTTTTGTTGTTGTTGATTTGAATTTATTAAGTTAAATAAAATTAAAAACCAGCACATGGCCATAGGTGAGGTATCAGTACTTTTCTTGGGAAGGAATGAAGATGTTGATCCTGCTGATGCCACTGATGTTGATGATGTTGATGAAGCTGATGCTGCTGATGCTGCAGAAGCTGCCTCACACCCTATCCCTGCTCTGGACCTGGCACCAGGAGCAGCAGGACTCTGGGCTGGGAGAGAAATGCCAGATCTCCTCTCCAAGTATATGTTTAGTTGAAGCAGTGTGAGGGCAGCTGTAAAAGCTGACAGGTTTACATCCACTTTTTAAAGACAGGACAGAAGAGTTCCTCAGCCACTCTAATCAATTTTTGCCTTTTTGTGCATTAATAGTTCCAGATAAATTGCAATGAGGTGTTTTAAACTTCTGAACAGCTTCAGGTGAACTTTACAGGTGTCAGCTGGTGTCTATAAACTGTCCAAGAGTCCTATAAAAGGCTGTGAAACAAGAGCAAAATTAGGAGAGAAATACATCACTTCAAAAATCCAAAAATAAATAAATTAGTGGAGTGCATTTTTAGTGTTACTTTTTTAGCAGGTCACCAGAATGGAGCATTGCAGGAAGAAAACACCTTCTGACACTGCTAATATTCAGGATGCACTAATGAATTAATGGAATTATCGCCACAATTCTTGTTTTCTCAGTTTTGTCATGTCAGCCTGTCCAGCTTCAGTTCTGTGCTGACATACAGGCATAAGGATTTCTTTTCAAAAACATGCATCTTATTTCATATCTAAATTTCACTGCTGTTACCCTAAAATAAAAGCAATAAATAATAAATAAGCTCTTACCTCTATCACACAAAATTCTTATTAGTCAAGCAGTTAAACCTCTGAGCCTTGTAAAAACTGAGCATCTGATTGTGAACTGAATTCTGTCAGCAAAACACAACTTTCCCTTGCTAGTAATGCAGCAGAGAAGCAGATTGTGGATATAATTCCACCCAAAACAAAGCAGACAAAAGAAAACACACTCAAATCCATTATTTAGTGGGTTCAAAACATACCTGAGCAGGTCTCTGAGGTGCTGACACCTGGGATCAGTCATTTCACCTTCAAAGAAACTAAGGCCTGCATCATTTTTTATCTCGTTTCCCGCTTTATTTGCTGTTTGTGTTCAGTCAAAGTTCAGTTTTTCATGAAGCTGCTCAAACAGGAATTCCAGCCCTTTCCATAATTTATGCTGTAACGATATATAACCTGAATGGAAGGAAATACTCATTGGAATAGTGGGATACACCTGGGTGCCTTTCTGATTTGGGTTCTGGCTGCAGAATGTGATCCAGGATCTGCTGTGAATTTGACCCTTGATGTTCTTCCAGCAAGGGAAGGGATGAGGTGTCTGAGCCTGGGGATGTCCCAGCCCCGACAAGATCCTCTCCTGAGATGCAGAGCATGGAGCAGGAATAGGAGCAAGGGGAAGAGATGATTTCTTTAGCCAGTCCCATATTGATGGACACAGGTAGGATCTAGTGGACAGTGTCCCTGCCTATGGCAAGGAGGTGGAACCAGATGATTTTTAAGGTCCCTTCCAACCCAAACCATTCCGTGATTGATTCTATGATATAAACCTGCCAACTAAGGGGTCCTAAAACCCTTCTCCAATTTCCCTTCTCGTGCCAGGAGCTCACAAACAGTTCTCCCTCATGGGCACATCCTGGTGTCCTACAGAATATCAAGGTACCACTGTCTGCAAGTCAGCATTTCATGTAATATTTAATATTTCATTTCATATTTCATTCCCCAGAAATATTCACAATATCTTGTGAATATTCACCTTGTAACTTCTCCTTCTCTTGCTTCCTGTGCTACTCAATGTGAGCTGAGTTACTCAACTCAGTTACAGATTTGGAAAAAAATGGTTTATATTTATTATTCACCTCCTCCTTCAGGACAGGGACACTGTTAAGTGCAGTAATTGAAGCAGATAACTCCAACTTCCTCTCCCTGCAAGCGTATTGTCATGCACATACATCTTGATTAGATCATTTTCCTTGTGAAAAGGAAGCGGGTTTGTACCGTGGTGTCTCAGATAATTTCCAGCAGAGTCTGCTGGTGGAGTTCTCTGATAGCACTATTTCAATTCGATATTCTTCTCGCTGCTGTTTATTTTTTCCGAGCGCTCACGTTTCCCTCACCTGTCTCCATCAGCAGGTCGCAACACTTTTGCACTGGCAAACAGGCCTGGAGGCAAACATTCCCTGTCGCTGCTGCTTTCTCTTGGAATCCCTGATAGGGAGGGAGAAGCGGCTGCATTCCTGCGCGCCTGACAGCCCGCTCGGGCTGCTGGAGGAGGAGTCGCTGTGATTTTGGCTGGTGTGGTCCCTGGTGGGTCCTGCTGCCACATTCTATCTTGAACTCGTGTCCACGCGACGAGTGACCTCCCACCCCACGACCCCGCTGCCAGGAGGGCTCTGAGCCGGGGGATTCCGGGCGGAGCAGAAAGACAGATCCTTAAGGAAGGGGCCAGCGCTTCAGTCAATGTCCTCTTACATCCCTGACACTTCCCACTAAAGTATTTAACCCTCAGCACTGTTGATTTAAAAGGCTGGAGCATAACCAACCTTTCTTTTCCGAGGAGCACAATCAGCATGTGAAAAATAGATGATCTTTTTAAATGTTTAAAAAGTGCATTGGTGATGCTCCTCGAGACAGGAGGAGAGTGGCACAATTAATTTCCAAGCCTTACAGCTCTTCTGTGGGATTGTAACAAAAGCAGGGGTGGTTTGGGAGTGTGAAGGGAAAGATTTTGGGGAGAGCATCACCTGCACGGACAGCCTGCCTTGGGAATATCACACAGCTGTCGAGGAACCTGCTCAATAAATATTTCGTGAACACCTTTTTATCTGAATAAGACAGTAGCTCAGCCTCCATGCAAAAAGTATTTACTGTGAATGGAAGCAAATTCCATGTTATTTTCCAACAGAATGTTCCTTGGTTTGTGGGGAGATGTTGGATTGGGCGGAATCCTCTGGGCTCAGGCCTGGAGCAAGCAGCTCTCCCTGTCTCTGCCTCCTGATTTCATCCATTCTGACTTCACAAAGCCCACAGAGACATTTTGTCCTTTCCAGTCAGGAATACTTTCTAAAATTTGTGTATTTTCCAGTTTTCTAGGCATCAGATTTATAAACTTCCCTGGAATGAATCCCATGAACTGAACCTGTGCAATCAGGATGTTGTAAAACAATTAAAGTCCAGATCCCTCAGTTACCCTGTGGGACCTCCTAAGACCCTGTCAGGTGATTCGTGCTGGATCCCCAGACCTCAGTCCACCCTCCAAATCCCAGGCCAGGCACGAAAAACCCTCCCCAGAACACTGTGCCGAAGCACCTTCTGTGACTGTACCTGTGGTGGGGACACATCAGGACACCAGGGTTGGGTTGGCATTGCTAGAGCTGACCCCAACCTTCAGCACCTCCAGTGCATCCGGAGAACTTAAGCAGCAGCTGAGCTTGTCCGTGGGTGAACACAGCAGAAGCAACCCCACGAGGTTCCCCTGGTCAGAAGAATCTGAAAGATCTGCGATGGTCACCAGGGTGAGGGGTAGCGTTGACCATGGTCACTGTCCCTGTACCCACCCCAGACACAGGTCTGGACGTCCTCCAAACCACACCATCCAAGCTCCTGCCTCACCACCTGCAGCCTCCCTTCTCTCCCAACTGCTAAAAACCTTCACTCTGTACAAATTAAAACAAACCAGCGAGTAGCTGCTGTCAGAACAAACCTGGAGGTGAATGTTCCCTGAATTTATAACCAAGGCGAACACCAAGAGGTTTATTTTTTATAAATGTAGCTCCATTCCTAAACCCCAGCTTCACTTCCCAGCAGGAATCTGCCTGACTTGGAAACCACTACTTTTTTTTCTAAATACCTTCACATCTCGTAAGCTGTACATCCCTCACAGAGACGCTGGAGCTATAGGAAGTATCCGTGGTAGGGGAGAGCTCGCTAAAGATCTCAGCAGTTCTCCCTCCTCGAGGATTAACCAATGCTGCAGGAGTTCCTGGGCTAAACTGGGAGAGGGAGGGGAAGGAAGAGCAGAAATAAACAAAATAAACTCTCTCCCAGCCAGTCGCGTTCTTTGCGCGCCGCATCCCCGGCGCGGCCACACGCGCCTCAAATCGAAGTGCAACGCAGCTGAGAAGTTCTGCGAGCCCAGTGCCGCCAGTATCGCGCCAGTACCGCACCAGTATGGCTGAGGAGGCGGGCGGCGAGCACCGGCTCCGGCTGGAGAGGGGGAATTAAAAGAGTTGGAAAAGATGTGACCAGCGCCTCGCCGACAGTTCCTCTCCCCCGTGGGATGTGGAGCCAAGAGCGGTGAGTTCCCACGCGGGACATTCCCGGGGGTCGCAGCCCCCGCGGGACAAACTGTTGCGTTTCTGGAGCGTTTTGCTGCGTGGACGCGGGGCCGGGGGGATGCGGGGAGAGGGAGGATGCGGTACCGCGGCGTCCCGGGACGGATGGGACGGGGCGCGGGGCAGCCCCGGGGGATGCGGGGAGAGGGGGAATGCTGTACCACGGAGTCACGGGACGGGACGCGGGGCAGCCGCGGGGAATGCGGGGAGGGGGACGCGGTGCGGGGCGGCCCGGGCCGGACGGGCCGGGCCGGGCCGAGGTGCGGGCTCGCCCCCCGCGCTCCCCCCGGGGCCGCGCCGCCGATTCCGCCCCCGCGGGCGCCCCGCGCCCCCCGCCCGCCCCCGCCCGCGCAGCGCGGAGCGCGGGGGGCGCTTGCGCACTGCTGCGCCCCGCGCACCGCCGGGCCCCCCCGCGCCGCGGCCGCGCTGCGCTGGGCCAGAAGTGTATTAAAGCGCGGGGAGCTCCCGCACACTCCGCGCGTCCCCCTCCTCCGCGAGCGCTGCCCTCCGCGCGCCCCCCGAACACCCGCGCAAGGTAAGCGCCCGCGGCCGTCGGGGCGCGGAGCGGGGGGTGCGGGACGGGGCGTGGGCGGGGGGCGCGAGTGGCGGAGCGCCCGCTTACCTGGGACGCGACGGGCCGAGCCGTGCGCGGGGGCGGCCGTCCCGCGCCCCTGCGCGCCCCCTGCACGCCCGCGTCTGTCCCGCCGCGCGGGGACTCGGCTGCGCCCGCGGGTTTGCGCGTCCCGGCCGCTTGCGCGCAGGAAGCGCGGCGGGGATGCTGCGAGCCCGGCAGGAGTACGCCCGGCCCTGCGCGGCTCTGCGCGGCCCTGCGCGGGGTCTCGGCGGCGCGGAAGGGTCTCCGGGCTTTTTTTCCCCCCTCCCGAGCACAGGAGGGCAGAGCCAGGCACTGCCAGAGCCGCCGCGCCGAGGTGGCCGGGCTAAAAGGCAGAAAGCAATTAAAACTCCTCCTTTCGGATTAACAACCAAAAATTGATCGATCTGTCAGGAATACTGTTGATTTATGAAAGGTGCTTATTTCCTTGGTATGGAGAATTTTATGTTCTCTAGGTGAAACTGAGTTCACCCAGCTCCAGAGTAGATTGATGTTTTAATAAAAATAAATAAAGGGAAAAAGCTCGCCCGGTCTTTGGGGATATCAACTCTCAAATCGCAGAGTTAGACTAACAAATCAAATCGCATTATCTTTACATTTCACATCTTTTAATAAAAAAAAAAAAATAATTAAAATATTGCACGCAGCGCCGCAGCTTTTATCGCCGCAAAGTTTTAATATGAGGTTAAAAAAAAAAAAAGTTGAAATAACAAATAATCAATGGTCGATCTCGGAGGCTGCGGGGGGGAGCGGGAGCGGCGGGGCCGGGTGCGCGCAGCACGGCCGCCCGCGCAGTGTCCTGTAGATGGCACACGGTCCCCACGCTACAGAGCCTCGGAGGCGGCGAGAGGGGATCTGCCGAGGGAAACGACCATCCCAGCACTTGTTGTTTACCCAAACCGGGGCGCTCGGAAATTCATTGGAAATTCAAGCCCGAGGGGCGCGGGGAGCTCCCGGGCCACCCGCTGACCGCCCGCGGCCGCGGGACTTGCGCGCCTGGCGGGAGCGGGAGCGCGGTTTGCGGGGATGCTGTCGGGGAAGCGGGAGCGGGGGAACGGCCCGGGGGGCCCCGGGCCGGGCCGGGCGCCCCGACACGTTTGTCTTTGCAATGTAAATCGCGGCGGGACAAATTGCTTATTAACAGTCGGGAAGAGGCGGCGGTTTCCTTCTTTCTTCTTTTCTTTCCCGGTTTTCATTCCGGCATGGCCCCCAGCTACGCTCGGGGCAGCCTCACCGCCCAGCAGTTTTCCCTTCATTTCAATATCCTAAAGAAAATGCAAATCACCACGCTGTGGCCTTTTTAAAAAGTTAAATTAGCAACAGCTTTAAGTGACTCCATTAGCATGGAAAACATACAAATGTTTAATGTGGGAATAGCCTGGCTTTTGGAGCTCGGCGAGCGCAGCGAGGCGGTGGGTTGGCGCCGAGCCCAGCTCGGGGGTCCCCCGGTGCAGCATCCCGGGACCCCCGCGGGAGCCACCGGCCGGGGAGGCACCGCGCGGGCTCCCCGCAGCTCCCCGCGCCGCCGACCCGCTCGGGAGGCTTTAATTATTTACAGGAGCGCTGTGGCTTGCGGGGAAATTGCGAGGCAGCTCTGGGGCGAGGGGACGGGGACCTCGGCCCGGTGTGTCCCCCCTCGGGGCACTCCTGTCCTGCCCGGTGGGCGAGCGCTGCACTGCCCCAGCCCGCTCCCGGCCCCGCTCCCAGCGCTCTCCTGCACCTCTGTCGTGCGGGAGAGGCATGCGGTCACTCGGCCGGGCCGGGGCTCCACCGCTGGTCGCCCCGGGGACAAAAGTGCTTGTGACAGCGGGAAGTTTTGCTCCGCGACTGCGGCGGGGCGAGCAGCCCGTTCCGTGGGGCCCCACCGGCTCCCCGCGCCCGGTTCGTGCGGGAGCCCCGCACCGCGGGCATTTCCCGTGCGCTGGCGGAGGATGTTCCCGGATCCCTGCAGGGCAGAGCGAGCCCTGACCACGAAGGAGTTAAGGTTTCTATTATTCAGTCGAGGTCTTGTTAGGATGTAATCTGCATTTTCTAACTACTGCGTAATAAAAAGTGAGAAGTTTTGAGACACCTTTCTTGATTATACCTTTGGCGATACTTTAGGTTTTACATTTAATTTGCATTTTGTTCTTAGTGAATATTGAAGTCTTGAGTGGAGGATTGAATTTTATTAGGACATCTGGACTGACAATATCAAATCAGACACCAACGTCCCAAAGCATGCTAAAATTTCAGAGTTAATTAGAACGAAGTGTGTTTAATTAAAGCCAATTATAATATCTGAAATTATCTGATCGATCCTTGTTTGTTCAGTTGGAGTCAGTTTATATTGTTCTCGCCGCACGACGGGACCTGTCCGGCCGCCAGCTCCCCGCGGCCCCGGCTGCGCACCCGCGCTGCTCCGCGGGGGCGGCCGCCCCTCCGCCCAAGCGGCTCCGAGCCCCCTCAAACCCCCTCCCCGCTGTCCCGGGGGAGCAGAGACGCGGCGGCCCCGCAGCACCCCCGGGCCGCGGCCCCGCATCCCGCGGGGACCGGGAGGGCAGCGCCCGCGCAGCGTCCGCACCTTCGGGAGCCGGGCAGCGCCCACGGGGAGTTTTCTCGTCCGAACACGGCGGAAGTTTAAGTCTTTTTTTTTCTTCTAATTTTTTCCTTTTTTTTTTTTCCTTGTTTTAGAACTAATTTTGGTGTAACAATATTGGGGCGCGGGGCCGCGGGAACGCGCTGGGGGTAGCGCGGGGCCGAGCGCCAGTTTGGGTAAAACAGCCCTGCACCCACAGGGAGTTCCGTGACCCCGAGCCGGACCCACCGCCCCGCCGCGCAGCGTGGCCGCGGGCCGCGCAGGGCCGCGGGAGGTGCGCGGGCGGCCGAGGAGGCCCAGGGCGACCTGGCCCGGGCAGGGAGAAGGACAGACCCTCTGAGCCCCTCTGAGCCCCGCAGCATCTCCGCGCAGCCGGTGCCCGCCCTGCGGTGCCTGCGCGGGGCGCGGAGCGGGGCAGCTCCCTCCCCATCCCGGCGGGGCGGGTGGCAGATGCGGGCGGTGGTACCGCACCGCTGGCCACGTCCGCTCTCCAGCGGGCCCGGGATGCTCAGGAATGTGAATGCAAGCACTGAAACTGGCCCAAAGCGGGCGAATCCATCCCGAAAGGCGGGTGGCGAGCGGGACCGGGCAGCGCGGGGGTCCTGCACCTCTGCGCGGGCGGCCTTCCCGCAACCTGTGCCCTTTGCGGGGCGCTGGGGGCCTCGGCTGGAGGCGGTGCAGGTCGGTGTGCCCCAAAGCACCGGCGGCAGCGCTGGTCCTGGGCTCCGCTCCGCTCCTGGGCCCGGTTCGGCCTCTGCCCTGGGCGCAGGATGCGCGACTCCCCGCAGAAGGGCCGGGCCGGGCCCTGTGGCGCTGCGCCCCCGCGCACATCACCGCCTCCCTGGGAATTAGCGCCCTGGAGCACCGGCCAAGGGGCCGCCGCTCCTGAAAACACCCGAAAACACAGATTTACCCGAAAATAGCCATTTCTCCCTCCTGCAGCGCGGGGGTTGGCAGAGATTTGTTTTGGTTACGCCGGGCATAAATTACACCCGATGCAACCCGGCGCGTTAGTAATGAAGGCGCCTTCCAACAATAAAATTGAAATATGGACTTTGGCGAGCTGCGGGGGCCCGGCCGAGCCCCCCGAGGGCAGGGCCGGAGCCGCCGCTCCCAGCTCCCACCGCAGCTTCCCGCTGGGAAAGTTTGTGCGGTGGGAAGCGCGGAGCTGGGCAGCTCGGGGCCGGCCCACGGCCGAGGAAACAGAGAAACTACCTCACGCGCTCAAACTTCTGTGATCTAAACCGTGAAATGAGAAACAAGTAAAAAATAATAACAACAAAAAGGAAAGAAAAAAAAGTGAAATGATTAAGATAATAGTCCCGAGGGAATTGTCCCGGGGGGGAGGGGGGGAATAAAATAATAAAGTTTGAGGCAATACTACAAGGGCGGTGGGATAAGGGTATCAATTTTAACCCACGCGCAGCGCGGGATGCGGTGTCCGGCCGCGGTGCGGGGCAGGAGGACGCGCTCGGAGGCGGTGGCGGGGGTCTGCCCGCACGGGCGGTGCGGGGCGCGGGGGGCGCGGAGCGGGGCCGGGCCGGGGGACAGCTGGGCTGCGGCCATCTGAGCGGCTCCGCCGTGACATCTGGGAGCCCGCTGGTGTGTGGCACGCGCATCGCTTGATGTCGCTATTTAAATGCAAATTTGCGGGGGGATCACTGAAGCCTCACCCCGTAAATTCACACAAAAGGGAGACTTGGCGCCGGAGGAGGAGGAGGAGGAGGTGGAAAAGGAGGAGGAGGAGGAGGGCCGCGGAGCCGGGAGGGCTCGGGCCGCCCCCCGCAGCCGCGCACACCCCCTGCCCTCCCGGCGCCGGCCGCGGCCCCGCTCCCCGCGCCTGCCCCGCGCAAGGTGCGGCGGCGGCGGCGGGGCCGCGATCCCGCACCCCGGGAGCGGGCCCGGAGCTGGGGGGGATGCCCAGGCTCTGCTCCCCTCCCTCCTCGGCCGGGAGAACGGGAGGACCTGTCGGGGGCGGGATGCCGGCCTGGCAGCGGTGCGGGGCGGCGCGGGGCGGTGCGGGCAGCAGCATCCCGGGCGGGCTCCCGGCCGCCGGCAGCTCCAGTCACAGTGACACACACACACACACAAAAAGATAAAGTTGGTGAATGATAAAGACCGTATTTTCCACGCTTTGGGTGCAGGACCAGATGATCTAGAAAATGAGCTGAAATAGATTCAGGCTCAGAGCCTGTTGTGAGGAGCAGCTGATTCCCCCATTCCTGGCCAGATGGCTTCTGAACACAGATTTGCATTCATTTTCGCTTAATATCGTCCAAAATAGTGGGGCAGCTGCATTTGTTGTCAAAAAGGTTTAAAACTCCCTTTCTTTCTGGGGCAGGATCGTTACCTTATGTGATGGGCTTATGGAACTTTTTTTTTCTCCCCTCCTTAGTCAACAGTATCAGATTTAAAAGGATTTGTTTTAAAACCTTCTAATTTGGTAATCAGATTTAAATCGCCTTGGCGCGTGTAATCTGAATTAAAGATACTGTAAATGATTTTAAGCTTTCGTTAGCGGAGGGTAAGCACCAACTTCGGCGTTGTTCATTTGAGGAAATATCTTACAATTATAGCGGTGTTGGGCATTTTTTACCTTATTTTTAGGAGGCAGAATTTTGCGGGCTAGGGGGATCGGCGGCCCCCGGCGCCAGCTCGAGGTCCCCAAATGTGTCCGTGCCACAAAATGCCACCGCGAGCATCGCATTGTTTGGGAACTTTGGTATCGCTGCGCGATAAAAGTGTTTGGGTTTGTAATCTGCTCTACTGTACCTCAAAAGCTCCGGACTGATTATGAATACAGGAATTTTCTTTTAATTTCTCATGAATAGTTTCCATACACTTTGATTTAAGGTTATTAACATTCTATAGACAGTGGCATCTTTAATATGTGGCGATCGCTTCTAAAGACTAATCTCATTACCCTCAAATAGTCATAAAATATGATTTTATTATACTTACGTATTTAATTAGACGGCCAGCAATGTAATGGATTTTGAGATCGGGTAGAGCAACAGCTTTGATAATTCACTTATCTTTGGCAATAGTCATTAACCCCCAACACCAGCAAAATAGATTGCTTTCTAACACATCTTTTTTTTTTTTTTTCCCTTTTCCCTCACCCCTTGGAGAAAGGGGATCCTGATAACACAAATCGGACTTTCGATTTTCACCGATTCATTCAGATATTAATGCCGATTTTCACGGAGTCGGTGAAATATTAACACAGGGACGTTGGAAACTCACAAAAATAAATATAAAAAAATATTAAATTTAAAAAAAAAAAAAAGAGAAGGTAGTCGTAGCCCTTACTGGGCGGAAAAAGCTCATCACTTGAGAAGGAGACATATATATATAAATATAAATGTATAAAAATATATATAAGTATATATTTATATGGAGAGAGATATATATATATATAGATGGACAAGGCGGACCTATAGCTGTTGATATATCTGTGTGTGCACATGAAGTCTTCAAATATAGGTATTTCTGGGCATGTACGCCCGTGCATTTATAGAGAGGCGATCGTGGAGGGGCGCATCCAGCATCCCACCCTTTGTCCATCCCCAAACCTCCCCACGACCCTCCACGCGGGTCACATCCCCGCCGAGAGGGTTTTACCCCCTTCCCGCTTCCTCGAAGCCACTTGCAAGAAGATCTCGGGACCTCTCTGCGCCGCGGTCCTGCCCCCCCCGTCGGGGAGGGGGGGTCGGGGCAAGGCAGGATCGCGACAGCGAGCGACCGAACCCCACGCTCCATATAAGGCGGTGTGCCCGCCCCTTAACGACGTCATCAGTGACGCCACCTCTCCCGCGGTGGCGGGGGCCCGACTCCCGGGGAAGGGGCGCGCTCCTCGGGGAGGGAGGGCCGGGCTCTGCGCGCCTCCGTCCATTCCGCGAGACGCCACGGGCCCGCGCCCCGTTCTCCCGTGTGCCCGGGAACACCTCCGCGGTAATCAGGATTTTTTTTTTTTTTTCCCCGTTTATTTGTCTTTTGGAGCAGGAGAGCCTTGCCAGAAAGTGGTCGATTCAGCAGTGTCCTGAAGCTTTTTTTTTTTTTCCGAGCCGGTTTTTACTAGGATGACACCACGTTGAGCGCGTCTGCAAACAACAACAACAAAAATATTTATTCTTTTTTCCCCCCTCCCCCGCCCAAAAAAAAAGCCACCTCGCAGTGTCGCCGGCTACAGTTATACTTTTTCCTTCTTTTTTTTTTTTTTTTTTTTTTTTTTTTTTTTAAACCACCAAACTGGAACGCCATCCAACTCGCCGCACAGAAGTACTCAGTAAATTGTTTATGTCGTGCCAATACAGGACAGATTGAAGAAGGAAGCAAGACTTGAACTGGGCTTTTCTCCTACTGATCACAGGGAGTAAAGTCATCTCTTATATTCCAGTCGCCAAGGAGAGAGAGAGAGAGAGAGAGAGAGAGCGAGCGAAAATCAAGCAACAACCAACCCACCCCGTATCTGACATTTCCCTCAATTTTAACCCCTTTTGGTTAGGAGCTGGTTTTGCCCAAATTTGTTTTAATGTTTGGGATTCAGGAAAATATACCAAGAGGTGGGACGACCATGAAAGAAGAACCGCTGGGCAGTGGGATGAACCCGGTCCGCTCATGGATGCATACTGCTGGGGTAGTGGATGCTAACACGGCCGCCCAAAGGTACGTCTGCCAAATCTTCTCCCGGCGGTTTTCTCCTCCTGTATTTCTCATCCCGGCCGTAAATCCCCCCCCCAACCCCCCCCCCCGCCCGCCCCGTATCAGTTACAGCCTCCCCGCTCCGCGCTCCCCGCATCCCCCCGCATCTCCCCGCGGCCGCGGAGCCTGCGCGCCCCTTCCCGCCGCTCTCACCCACGCCTTGTCTTGTTTTCTCCCGCAGCGGCGTGGGGCTGGCTCGGGCACATTTCGAGAAACAGCCGCCTTCCAATCTCAGAAAATCCAATTTTTTCCACTTCGTCTTAGCTCTGTACGACAGGCAGGGACAGCCGGTGGAGATTGAGAGAACAGCTTTTGTGGACTTTGTGGAGAAAGAGAAAGTAAGTCTGCCTGTTATCTTAATTTTTTTTTTTCAAATTTTTTAAGCGTGATTTCATTGATCCAAGCTCATTCCCAGCCTCGAAGCCCTCCCCGGCACTCCAGCGGCGCCCACGCCACGTGCGGGTCCCCCCGGTCTCACGGCCGCTCCGAATAGACCCCGGGGTTAGAAACTTATCGCCGCGTCCCCGACTTATATTAAACACCGGGAAAACGGCAAAACATGACATATTTGCACCGAGCTAATGACATCATCAGCGCTCCACCAAAAAAAAAAGTGACCGTGGGCTGAATTTCTGCAAACTGTTAATTCTGAGCCGCTTCAGGGACGAGAAAAATGTGCGTCAGGAGGAGGGCGATATTTTTCATGCTAAATGTAATTATTTATCGTTACTTGCAGGAGCCAAACAATGAAAAAACTAACAATGGGATTCATTATAAACTTCAGTTATTGTATAGCAATGGTAAGTTGTCGTTCTCTCATTTTTGAGCGTCCGTGTGCCGTAGAAAAGTCTGATGTCCCCTTTCGAGGCCTTTTTTGGGGGGGGAGGGAGCAGGATAAAGGATATAAAGATTTCGAGATTAAAATTACACGCGTGTAAACACGGCTCTTTCCTTGGCATATAAGGAAAACAAAACGTAAAGGATCGATAAGTCAATGGTACTTCACATGATTAACCGGTTGGGCTTGAAGTGGAAAGTAAAAAAGGGGATCGATGGCTGCTCGGGCACAGCGGCACTTTTAAGGGACTTCTTTTTTTTTTTCCCCCCTCCAGTTTTGGGAACTAATGGTAATCATTGGGATGGGGTGAGTGGGCAGAGCGGAGCCCCGGTCCGACGGAGCCGGTTCCTCGGGCGCGGGAAACCCGCGGGGGGCCGGGAAGCCCCAGCGCGGGGGTCCCGCGTGTTCCCCGGGGCCGTGGGGCCGGCACAACCCGGCCTGATGGGGGGGGCTGGCCCGGGCACGGCCCCCCAAGCACCGGGAACAGAAGGGGAGCATAACTCCGCCAGCAGCTGATATCTGGATTTTTAAAATTATTATTATTATTTTTTAATTTTGAATTTTCTTTTTGAGCTGGCGCGGGGCCGATCCCTGCCCGCCGCGGTTAATTGCCTGACCTCATCCTTTCCTTGTGGAATTGGGGTGGTTCGCTACCTAAATCCTGACCGGAATTTGTCTCTGCTTTCCCTCTCCAGGAGTTAGGACAGAGCAGGACCTGTATGTTCGTCTAATAGACTCAATGACCAAACAGGTGAGAAAGTTTACGCTTTTCTTACCACGCGAGTTACGAAGTTTGTATTTTGCCCTTGCGGGGGGGGTGGGGCTAGGGGGGGGAATAAACCGGTAGAGCGCACCTACTTCTAATTTACCTGAGCGAGTAAATCAGCTACCTGCTAATTGAGATCCCTATTACCGGAGGATATTTGGGAAAGAGAAAAAGGTGTGTTGTTGCTCTTCGAGGCAGCGTTGGAATCATTCAATAGTGTGTGTGGCATTGAGTACAACGTCACGGGAACAGATGTTTGATATAATTAATTTAGCGAGGGAGAAAGGAAAGGGGAAAAAAATCCCATCGAGTTGCCCAGATTTATTTTTCGATGCACTTTTTCCCATTTCTAACTTTTTTTTCTGACGATATTTTTCCTCGGTGAGGAGAGGGCAGCCCTCTTGCCAACACTCCGAAACTGGCCGGGATTAGTCCTTTTTCTTTTATAATGCGACGATCCAGTAACGCGAGACGTTTATTTGGATTTAAAAGTTAAATGTGCTGAGGTGAAAAGTCATCTTGTTCTCCTCTAGTCCATATTCACCTCTCAGCCCCCCATCTCCATAATTCAAACTCCATGCTCCAGGGGTCACCCAAACCCGTCCATTTCCCTGAGATCAGCTTCTGTTTCTTCCTCAAACCTCTGTCATACCTTGTAAATAACATAATTACAAGCAGTTCCTTATTAAATTATTTAACCTGTCTTGGTCAACTTTTCCGATGATAACTACGTGTTATCAGCATTGCACCGCAGCAATTACAGACAGAGCTTGGGATTTAATCAACTTTATTTCTTTTTTCTTTATTTTATTTTTTTTTCCTCAGTGACATTTCATGATTTTTTAAAATTATTATTAATTCAAATTTTTTTTCGAGGGGGGGGGTGAGGAGAAAGGTGAGAATGGGGAATAATTTACAGTGTTCTGGAAATCTGATCCCAGCGATGGAAATTAAAACCATTCCCCCAATCTGCCGGGTTGTAACACCCCTGCGTGCTCTGCACTCCCGGCCGAGGCCGGCCTGCCCACATCCATTATTTTTGGGAACTTTGCAGCCCCCGAGGCAGGGGCAGGGGAGTCCCCCGGGTCGGGGTGGGCCCCGCGCAAGCTGCGCACACGGCTGCGCTGCCACCCCGCAGAAACTTTCTACTTCTCCTGACTAAATCTGGGTTGGATCTAAACGTCTCCAGGAGTAAAATAGCGGGATTTCCACCCGGAGAAAAGCAGAGCTGACAGGCCAAGTACAATTACTCTGACAAAGACGGAGGCGTCGTACCCTTCAATAATTATTTCGCTGGGTTACAGAGGAGGCTTTTAAACTCCGGAGCGCTCTCGAGTTGACAATGTGGGTTTATTTCCTTTGTATACAGCAGCTAAATGTTTTCGGAAATCGCTGTAGTAGTGTAATTAAGAGGCTGACATAGGCGGCTATAAGTTTCGTTAGCGCCGAATAAAGGAGCAGAGAGGATACATTTGAAGTGCACTTTTATTGTCCATTTCGGCTCGTACCTTTGCAGCAGAAAAAGGGCTGAAAATAAAGGCTTTTAATCTCTCCTCACTGACGGGAGAGAAAAAAAAAATAGCCCAGTAACTGATCAAAGAGTCAATGGCGCTGAACCGACAGTTTATGGATTTCTGTTTGTGCTACAAAATAAAAAATAAATCACTTATAAATACGTGGTTTCATCAGAGGAAAAGTAACAATCACCAGAAGTTATATGGCACGCTGCGACAACAAACACTCGCGGCCACAGTCGCCTTGTTATGTCTGCGCTGTCATCTATGACCCCCTCTTGTTTGCAAAACAATACCTGGAGGTGGGGACCCCCCCGGCCCCTCCGCGGGGTTGGCGGAGCGGAGCCCCGGGGGAGCCGTGCGGGGGGCTCGGCTCGGCATCACCCCCGGCCCTCGTTAACACCGCCGAGGTTTGCGGGGGGCTGACTCTGCACCCCCGGCCCCGGGGCACTGAGCGCAGGCAGGGTCGCGGGGAGAGAGGCAGGCAGGGATGCGAACAGGCAGGGAAGCAGGAGAACAGGCAGGGAGGAAGGCAGGGAAGCAGGAGAACAGGCAGGGAGGCTGCTCGGAGCCCGGCGTTCCCCCAGCCCGGCGGGCGCCGGGAGCGGAGGGCCGATCCCGCACCTCGAGCTCCGCACCATCTGTTAGAGCCCATGCTCAAAGCCCACTCAGCCGTGCGCCCAGACACTGCCTTTTTACCAGAGAAAAATCATTGTTAGCAGTTTCAAAATAAACACCAGATTGCCCATTAGCACTTTCTTCCCAAATATCATCCGGTAATAACCATATTGCTGTGCGCGCTCCTGGGATTCCTCAGGGCGTTCAGGCACTTCTGAGTTGATCGGAGAA